TCTCCAGGGGAATCATGAGCACAGCATGTCGGTCGCTCAGAATTCCCAGCGGGAGCCAGAGCAGGGGCAGGAGCAGGACGAATTCTGAGCGCAGTTCGGCGGGTGAGCAGAATTTCCAGCAGGAGCAGGTCCAGGAGAAGCAGGAGGAGGAATTCTGAGCGCAGACTGGCGGATGTGCAGACTTCGCAGCAGGATCAGGAGCAGGACAAGGAGGAGCAGGAGGAGGAACAGGAGGAGGAGCAGGCAGGAGAAGGAGGAGGAGCAGTGTTAACAGCGTAGTGTCAGCGGCATAATGTCAACAGCGTAGTGTGAACAGCGTAGTGTCAACAGCGTAGTGCCAACAGCGTAGTGTCAACAGCTTAGTACAACCATCGTGGAGTCACCAGCGTAATGTTCACAGCGTTGAGAAAACAGCGTAGTTGCAACAGCTTAGTGTCAACAGCGTAGTGTCAACAGCGTAGTGTCAACAGCGTAGTGCCAACAGCGTAGTGTCAACAGCCTTGTGTCAACAGCGTAGTGTCTGCAGCATACCGTCCAGAGCGTAGTGCCAACAGCATAGTAGCCAACAGCGTAGTGCCAACAGCGTAGTGTCAACAGCGTTATGTCAACAGCGTAGTGTCAACAGCGTAGCGCCATCAGCGTAGTGCCAACAGCGTAGTGTCAACAGCCTTGTGTCAACAGCGTAGTGTCAACAGCGCAGTGTCAGCCCATGCGGAGGAGCAGGAGCATTATTATTACCTCCGCAGGGGGACTTATTTGCGCAGGCAGCCTAGGAGGTTCTAAGAATTCCTAGCAGGAGCCAGACTAGGGGAAGGAGCAGGAGGAGGAGCAGGAGGAGCAGGAGCAGGAGGAGCAGCAGCAGTAGCAGGACCAACTGCAGGAGGAGTGTCAACAGCGTTGTGTCAAAAACATGATCAACAGCGTTGTGCCAACAGCGTAGCGTAATCTCAACAGCTTAGTGTCACCAGCGTAGAGTCACCAGCGTAGTGCCAACAGCTTAGCGACAACAGCATATAGTCAACAGCTCAGTGTCAACAGCTCAGTGTCAACAGCGTAGTGTCAACGGCATAGCGTCAACAGAGTGGTGTCAACAGAGTAGCGTCAGCAGCCTAGTGCCAACAGCGCAGTGCCAACAGCATAGTGTCTACAGCGTAGTGGCAGTCCATGCGGAGGAGCAGGAGCATCTGCATCACCCCTCTGGAGGAATTCCGAGCGCAGCAGGACCAGGACCAGGACCAGGAGCAGGAGCAGGACGAGGAGAAGGAGCAGGAGCAGTGTCAACACCGTAGTGTCAACAGCACAGTGTCAGCAGAGAAGTGTTAGCAGCGCAGTTGTTGACACTACGCTGTTGACGCTACGTTGCTCGCCGAGCAGCTGCAGCGAAGCCGACCCCCTCCTGGGGAGGCCCAGGGCAGCCGAGGGCGGCCCCTCCTCTGAGCGCAACCAGAGGCGGCCCCAGGCAACCGAGTCGAGACGCCTGGGCCGCTTAGCTTTGACACTGCGTTGTTGACACTACGTTGTTGATACGGTTGTCACTGCGCGGTTGGCATATATACATATAACGGCGCACCGGGCTCGGGGTCCGAGGGCCGGAACCTCGACCGCAAATGTGGGTGCCGGGGCCCGGGCCCGCTTGTGGGAGGCCTAAAATCGCCCCGGGGAGCCCTCAGACAGCAATCCCAGCGGCACCAGACGGTCTCGAGACACCCCCAAGACGCCGTCCAGGGTCCCTGACTACGCACGATGCGTTTTAAACTGCCCCGGAGGCCTCCGAGACGCCCCAAGAGGCTTTGAATATGCCGTCCAAGAGCGCCCCGAGAGGGCAAAACCGTTGATTTGCATACGTTTTGTTTTATGTTCTTTTGCATTCTCGCTTTTTCGTGTTTCCGGCGCTAAAGCACCGCACAAGAGGCTCCCAAAACCGCTCCAAGACGGCCCAAGATGCCCCCAAGAGGCCCCAAGACGGCCCAAGAGAGCCCCGAGACGGCCCCAGAGCCGCCCAAGACGGCGCAAGATGGTCCCAAGAAGACCCCAAGAGGGGCCCAAGAGAGGGAACGCGAACGGAAAAATCAAGCTTTCCGCCCAAAGATGCCCCCAAGAGGCTCCAAGAGGCCCCCAGGAAGCCCCCAAGAGGCCCCAAGAGGCCCCCAAGAGGCCCCAAGAGGCCGCTAAGAAGCCCAAAAGAGGCTTCAAGATGCCCCAAGACGACCTCTCTTCTTCCCTCCGCTACGCGCTATCCTACAAGCTAGCTAGAACTTGAGCGCGCGCGAAGCGCGCGCGATGGTTCTAGTTAATATATGTGTATATATTGTGGTGAAACTGCTCAGATTTGGCACGACGTTGTTGACACTACGTTGTTGGCACTACGTCTTTGACGCTGCGTTGGTAAAACTGCTCAGCTCTGACACTACGTTGCTGACAGTACGTTGTTGACATTCCGTTGGTGGCATTACGATGTTCCCTCTACGTTGTTGACACTACTTTGTTGAGACTACGTTGTTCGCCGAGCGGCTGCGGCGAAGTCGAACCGGCCCGGAGGTTTGCTGAGCGCACTCGGGTGGGCGCTCGGAATATTCGTGAAATTACTCAGCTTTGATTCTACGCTGTTGACACTCGGCTGTTTTGACACTACATTGTTGACACTTCGTTGTTCACTTTACGTTGTTAACACTACGTTGATGACACTACGTTTCTGACACTACGTTATTCGAAGAGCTGCTATGGAGAAGTCAAACCCTCTGGGGGGAACTTCTAAGCGCAGCCTGGACGGCGCTCAGAATCCTCGGGGGGGTTGCCAGGGAAGCCAAGTCGAGACGCATGGGCCGCTCAGCTCTGACCCTACGATGTTGACGGTACGTTGTTGATGTTGATTACGATGTTGTCACTGCGTTGTTCATATGGTGCCGCGCCGTTTGTTACGACGCGCGGCCTTCCGTCTTGGGGACGGCGCCGCGGCCACCAGGGCAAGCGCCGCCTCGGACGCGGTGGGCTCGCCGTGGGTTTGCCGCAGGACCGGCGTCGTCTACTTGGGCGCGGGACGCAGGGTTTGCTGTGGGTTGGCCGTGGTGTCGGCCTCGTCCCGTTCCGCGCGTCGAGAGCAAATGGCGCGGCGTCACACACACACACATATGGTGTAATTGCTCAGCTTTGGCACTACGTTGCTGACACTACACACTGTTGTCGACACTACGTTGTTGACACTACGCAGCTTTGACACTACGCAGCTTTGACACTACGCAGCTTTGACACCACGTGAATGCCACCGTGTAAACAAACACACACTACGCTATTCTCTCATGTCAAGGTTAAGCACAGCCCTCGCGAGGGGTGTCGCTCCTGGAAAACCTCAGACAGCCCGCCCCCCAAAGGACGAAACAAACAACTTCCTGGACCGCCTCAGCGTGCCGGGAGGGCGCGGTGGCGGACCATGGTTCGCCAATGTGGAAGAAGGATTCTGGGGAGCAGTGGCTGCTGAAATTCTTCACGCTTCGCGTATCCCCACCAGCCCATCTCAAAACAGCAACTCTTGCGAAACATGAGGCCTCGTGGTGCCTCCTGGGGACCTCTTGTGGGCCATCTGGGGAACTCTAGGGGCCATCTGGTGGACCTCTGGGGGCCATCGTGGGGGGCTTGTATGAGCGCTGCCCGTCCTCCTGGTGTGACTCGTTCGGGCTCCTCGTGGTGTGAGTCGTTCGAGGCCCGCGTCGTGGTGTGAGTCGTTCGGGCTCCTCATGGTGTGAGTCGTTCGGGCGGCTCGTCCTGGTGTGAGTCGTTCGGGCCCCTCCTTGTGGTGTGAGTCGTTCGGGCTCTTCGTGGTGTGAGTCGTTCGGGCCCCTCGTCCTGGTGTGAGTCGTTCGGGCTCCTCGTGGGGCCTCTTGGGGGCCTCTTGGAGCCTCTTGGGGCCTCTTGGGGGCCTCTTGGGGGCCTCTTGGGGGCCTCTTGGGGGCCTCTTGGGGCTCTTGGGGGCCTCTTGGGGGCCTCCTCTTGGGGGCCTCTTGGGGCCTCTTGGGGGCCTCTTGGGGGCCTCTTGGAGGCCTCTTGGGAGCCTCCTGGGGGCCTCTTGGGGCCATCTTGGGGCCTCTTGCGACCTCCTCAGAAGCGCAAAGTAGAGCTGCCCCCTGAGAAGGAGAAAATGAACCCAACACCTTCGTAAAATCAATGATTTTGCTATGCGGGACGATGAACGCGGCCCCCTCAGAAGTCCAAAATGGGGCCGAAACCCTAGTAAAATCAATGATTTCTGCTTCGAAGAGGAGTAGAGGCGCCAAACTCCCCCCCCCTGGGGGCCAGAATCCTCGTGAGGGTCGTCGTTTTTTGGCCCTCCCAGGAGTCGAAAAAGACCCCCTTGAGTACACTCGGCCCGCCCTCTCCAGGCCCAGGGGGAGGGGGTAGGGGGAGGGGTAAACCCCTCCCCGAAGGGGAAGAAGGGGGGTTGAGGACAGAGCGGGCTCTCTAAACCACTCACGCCCAAAGGGCTGGTGGGATTTCCTGGCCAGCGTGCGTACTGCGTGACAAGCACAAAGCGCAAGGATAACCAGGGGGGCAAGGGATATGCTCGCTCTCGGAGGAGTGGCGAGGGCTTGCCTTTTGAGAAACACCCATGCTGGTTCGTATCGAACGGGCACGGATGGGAAAGGCAAACCCTGGTCGTAAAAGCATGCACCGTGGTGGGGACTCTCGCCGCGGATTTCGAATTCCTACTGCGTGAGGGCATTGGTACCGATGTTGCTTGTTGTGTCGGGGCTGAGAAGGAGATCATTCGTGCCCACCGCCTCGTACTAGCAGCGCGATCCCCAGTGTTCAGGCAAATGCTATTGACATCTGGCATGTCCGAGGCTAAAGCAGATTGCGAAGTGGTTTTGGAAGATGTTGAGCCGAACGTCATGCGCTGATTTCTACACTGCCTCTACACGGATGTCGTCCCGCCCGTGCTTGATGACAAGGGCGAGGCGTTGTGCCATATTCTCACGGCGGCACATCAATTCCAAGTTGATTCTCTCATGCAGCGCTGCATTGAGGACATTGCATCAAGCTTGGCGGAGGATACCGCCTGCGAGCGGCTCATGATGGCTGACTTGCTCGGACTTGCAGACCTCCGGCTGATCGTTCTGCAGTTCATCGGTTCCAGCCGAGAGCGGCTTGCGAATATACAGGTGACGGAGGGCTACTCGAGGCTTGTGGATCAGCGGCCGCGTCTCCTCGGTGACATCTTGGCCCAGGCTGTGAAGCCAGGGAAACGCCCACCGCCCGCGTCGGACTTGCCAGAGCATCTTGATGCTCTTACTGTCGCGGCCCTCAAGCAGCTTCTTGCAGACCGTGGGCTCCCCGTGGGCGGCAACAAAGCGGCGCTGCTGGCGCGCCTCCGTGTATCTGCCGCCTCGTGATGCAGTCCTGCAGTACGTCGCCGAGGGTTCTGCCCCCCTCAGTGCAGGCAGCACTCAGACTCGATTGGGCAGGTGTGCGCGTGTGGGCCGGACGCCGCGCAGTGCTCCCAGACAGCCTCGCGCCGTGAAACAAAAAAGCTTTTGACCACATTCAGCCTTTGGGTGCCCCCACTGGGTGCCCGGTGCAGGCAACATCGACTCATGATGAACAGTTGGTTCCACGCCGGGGGGGTCAACATGTTGAAGACGTCACGATTTCTGCGGTCTGGGTCCCGTTGCTGTTGTGATCGCTGTCCAAATCATGTGTGCAGCGGGCGGTGGTGTGAACGTGCGGAGCGTGTATGTTCCAGGATTTGGGCGGACGGTGGGGTCCTGGTAAGGAAAGTACCAGGAAGGAGGATCAAGCGGATCCCGTCTCTTGGTGGCCGCACGGGTACCATCATGATGAAAGTGAGAAGTCTTATGGCTCGTTCTGGAAAAGGCTTCACCTTCGGCGAGTATTCGCCATCTGCGGAGGATGACAGAAGTAACAGAACTGCGGCTCCGTAGAGGAAGCCAGCAGAAATCGTCAGCTATCAAAGCGAGACGTCGGCATGTTTGGCCTCAGGGTTTCTGGAACGTGCTTGTCTCAGCACAACGCTTCAGTGCATACGTTTCATTCCCACACCGTCTCGCACCACCTCCGTGGATTCAGGCATGATTCCCCCAGGCGTACTTGCCCTGAGGATTTCCGACGTCGTTTCGAATGATGTGGGGGGCCTGCTGTCAAATTCACCACTCCTCGCCTCCTACATGCGGCATTCCAGGGCGGCCTTCGCCATCGAGGGTCGAAGGAGTTGTCGCCTCCTCCCCGGCGGGAAGGGCGGCGGCAGGGCGGTGGAAGCCCGCGGAGGTAGAACACGGGCGGCCCCCGCGGGCGGAAGCCGGCGGGAGGTTGGCGGAAGTCGGCGGAAGTGGCGCATGCGCCCCCAACAGATGACAACCTTTTTGGGTACACAGGGCTTATTCGGAACCGGCCACACGGGTTGCACCCCGTAGGTTGTTTTACATCCTCATGTCGCATGGCACAGGTTGCACCGCACCGTATCTGCACAGGAGTTGTTTTTTTGTTCGCGTTTGCTCGATTGGGGATGGCGCGCCGCGAAAATCTCTCGTTCTCGTGCCCCTTGGGGATTGTACCACGCGGGCTGCAGCCCTGAGGTTGCATCCTATGAGATGCACCCCAGACGTTGCACCTGAAATATGAGAAAAAAGGCTGCTCCCCACAGGTTGCATCTCATAGGTTTCACCCCGTAGGTTCTACCCCACAGGTTGTGCACCGTAAGTGGTACGCCTTAGGTTGCATCAACAAGGGTTTACGCTACATCAATAAATACATAAGTGCACAAGTAGATAGATAACTAAATCCACACCTCAATACATACATTTTCATACTCCGATTTTTTTGTTACCCGGGCTCCTCCTCCCCACCCCCCCGCTTCTAAACCGGATCCCCCCCCAGGAACGCCCTTGACGCCCTTTCGGACATCTCGGCGGCCCCCTGGACGCCCTTGGGGAGAAGGTCAGTTGGCCCGTCCGGGCCTCCCAGGGCGCCTTGCGGGGCCTTGCGAGCAGACCCAAGGCGATCAGAGGGGTCATCGGAGAGGCGCAAGAAAGACCCAAGACAGCACAAGAGCGCTCCAAGAGGAACCTCCATGGTCTGAAGACGGCTCAAGAGGCCCCCAAGACGCCCCAAGAGGCCGTCCGTTAAGAGAGCCCCTAAGAAGCAAGAATCGCCCCATTCCCTCCGGCAAAGGTATATTTTTAGCATCTCCGTTTTGGGGGTCTTTGCAGCGTCCAGACGGCCCGATGGGCCCCCGATATCGCCCCACGACGGCCCAAGAGGTCCCCCAGAGGGTTTGAAGACGGCCCAAGAGGGCCCCAAGACTGGCCCAGAGAGCCCCGAGACTGACCACAAGAAGCCCAAGATGTCCTCCGAAGGCTCCCAAAGAGAGACCCACGAAAGCCATGGGAGACCCCCAAGACGGCCACTGGAGGCCCCCAACAGGGCCCTAGATGGCTTCAGAAGACCTCTGGAGGGCCCCGGCTCCCCAAGACGGCCCAAGAAGGCTCCAGGACGGCCCAAGAGGGCCCCAGGACGGTCCAAAAGAGCTCCAAAAACGCCCAGACGGCACTCTCCTACAAAGCACATCGGGCTGACCCGACGATTTTGGTTCCACGCCTGAGGCTCGAGTTTTACATTCCTCGATCGAGAGAGACAGGCGATGGATCTAGATTCGAAGTTCGACGATCGAAGATTTCCTGAGTGCCTGGGGCCCTCCAGGCTTTCAGAAAACGATCAAACATCGATTTGTTCGGGGCTACTGCGGCTTCTTCGGCGTGTCATGGGAGCGCTCCTTACTTCCTCAAAGGACCTTCGCGCGTGAACAATCATCATTCCTCCCCCACTCCTGCAAACAAGCGTGCAAGCGCATCGGGCGAACGCGGCATCAGCAGCCACCAGGGGTATCAGAAAAATGAACCGGTCGCCCGCCCAGGTCTCGAGGTCCCCCTACTGAAGTAAACGATAATTTATTGTTTTACCGGGGAAGCGTCCGGAATAAGACTACATTGGCCCGAAGCGCCAATGTAGTCTTGTTCATAATATATATATATATATATATATATATATATGTATGTATGTATGTATATATGTATGTATGTATGTATGTATGTATGTATGTATGTATGTATGTATGTATGTATATATGTATGTTTGTATGTATTGATGTATGTATGCATGTATGTATGTATGCATGCATGTGTTTATGTATGTATGTATGTATGTATGTATGTATGTATGTATGTATGTATGTATGTATGTATGTATGTATGTATGTATATATGTGTGTGTATGTATGTATGTATGTATGTATGTGTGTGTATGTATGTATGTATGTATGTATGTATGTATGTATGTATGTATGTATGTGTGTGTATGTATGTATGTATGTATGTATGTATGTATGTATGTATGTATGTATGTATGTATGTATGTATGTATGTATGTATGTATACACATGTTGTTTCTTTTCTCTCGCGCGACACCGCTGTTTACGGCCTGCGCGCTTCTAGCCATACCATGACGCATGCAAGTCGCAAGCCCAATCACATGCTGGGGAGTTGCCAAGCAGCTGACACCGCACGTTTTTTTTATTAGCCCTCCGGCTGCTCTCGCCAAAATTGCAGGGTAGTTCGCCAACGCCCCACGGGAGTTTTCCCCAACGCCCCATCGGGGCTCTCGCCAACGACGCCCCCGGGGCCCAGGGAGGCCTCGCCAACGCCCCACGTGGTTCCCTCCGACGCCCAAGAGGGGGCCTTGTTACCGCCCCATGGGGCTCTCGCCAACGCCCCAGAGGGGTCCCGCTCACGCACCAGGAGGGTCCCGCCAACGCCTTCGAGTCTCCCCGACAATATCCATGCCAACGCCAGAGCCAGCGCTTCAGCCAACGCCTCCCGCCGACATGCGTAAGATACGCATGTCGGCGTGTCGTATGTCGATGGCGTGGCGTTGGCCGGGGCGGTGGCGGGGCGGTGGCGGGAGCGTCAGCGGGGCGTTCGGGCTCCCAGGTGCCCTCCTTGGGCCTTGGAGCGTTAAACGAAGAACTGGGGATGAAGATGTGGTCATGGCGAAAAGCTCCGGGCTCTAACACGTATTTCTCTCAGAACCCGTGTCCAGACATCCGATGCATTTTCAATGCGTGTCCCCAGAGGTACAGACCCCTTCCCCGTCCCGAATCTATTTCTGTGGGTCCCGTAGGCCCGATAAGGGGCCCCAGGCACCGAAATTGAGGAGAAACGCCCACTTTGAAACACACACGCACACACGCACACACGCACACACACACACGCACACGCACACGCACACGCACACGCACACGCACACGCACACGCACACGCACACGCACACGCACACGCACACGCACACGCACACGCACACGCACACACGCACACACGCACACACGCACACACGCACACACACACACACACACCGTTGGAGGTGTGGGTCCCCTGTGGCTCGTGCCATAACTCGGACCTCCGGCGACCGTTCGAGACGATCCAGGCACGCCCAGAATGCTCTCGACGAGGTGGCTGGCGGAAACGTCCGAAGACATCCCGAGCCCGGATGGAACAATATACATCGACGGAGGTCTGGGTTTCTCTCATTCTAGGCCTCCCACGTGGGGTCCGAGCAGGTGGGGTCGGAGGACCGCGCCGCATCGCCGACGCGTCGGCGATGTGGCTCGATGTGGAATCCGACGTTTCCCTCGCCGACGTCGCCAATGCGGCGAGATCCTCCGACCCCCATCCGCCCGGACCCCGCCTGAGAGGCCCCTGCGCCCATCGTCGAAGATCTGCGGCGCCGCCCCTCTCCGCGGGCGCCGCTCGAGACCTGCGCCGAGGTCGGGTCGGCGCACCGCGCTCCGCGCGGCGCGGGAGCGCACGGGCTCGGCGGGGCTGGGGCGCAGCGTGTGCCACTGGGCGGGATCGCAGGCGACCTCCTGCAGTCAAAACTCCTGGGAAGGACGCACGGATGTCCTCGGGGTGCCCCCTTGCGTGCTTGCCTCGGCGGCCCATCCTTCGCGACTTTCGCGGGCCGGCCCTTCCAGGTGCTGGCAGCCCGCCGCCCAAGAAGTGCCAACTTCGGCGTCCAAGGCCCCTTCGTCCTTGCCGCCCGTCCTTACTATAGATTTCCTGCGTACCTCCTCCTCCTCCTCCTCCTCCTCTGCCTCCTCCTCCTCCTCCTCCTCCTTCCAGTATGCTCTACCTCACACACTCCGAGCCGAGGGGGAACCTTGGGCCACTTCCCGGGGTACCAGAGCACAGATGTGACAGTACATGGAACATCTCTCAGCACGACCGAGAAGTGAGCTGAGCGGGAGAGGGGAGCACGGAATTAAACCTGTAGAGTCATCAGCCCCCCCCCCCAGCAACAGTTTGGGGTCTCGGGACTTCCGTCTCTCCCCCCTCCTCCTTTTGAGGTCGTGTCGTCGTCTCCTTCCCCCTTGGCGTGGGCGCCCTAAGCCCGCGCGCCCCCTCCCCAAGGCCACGCGGAAGGGCCAGCAGCTGCTCCCCCCGCACTGACCCGATGGGACTCGTGATATAAGGTAGCGAGCCTCTCTTACGGGGCCACCTCGGAGTTCGGTCCTTGGGCTACGGGGTCTGCCCCCTGCCGCCCCTAGTGAGAAAGCAGGGCTGCTGCACAACACATCGCAGGGGATGTTTGGCAATGGCGCGTAGCCCGAGTAGGTGCTCTGACGTTCCACCTCCTTATGCGGATGTCCGTGTCCTTGTCCTCCTCTTCCTCCTCCTCCTCCGTCGGAGGGTAGGATGAGCGACTTTCCAGGGATACCCTTGCATCCTTCCCCTTCGGCCCATCCTTGGCCGCTTTCGCTGGCCGCGCCCCGCTCGCAAAGTGTCGACATGGCCTTCCAAGGCCCTTGCATCCTCGTCGTGCGGCCTTCCTGTACGGGTTGACTGTACCTCCTCTTCCGTCGGAGGGCAGGCGATTTCCTTTGTGTCAGTCTGCCCGCGCCCGCGGCGGCGAGCTGACCGGCGACAAGGAGGGCATCGACGAGTCCGTATGGGCCGACTTCGGGCGGCTCCCCGCCGAGGCGTGCGGCGCGTCTTCCTTCCTTGCAGACGACGGCGACGACGACGAGGACGACGATGGTGACGACGACGACGACGACGACGTCGACGACGTCGGTCACGGGCTCTTGGGTTCCAGGATTGATTGGTCATCGTTTCTTATGGTTCCTTGGTCTTCGCTTCTTGGCGTTACTTCTTTGGTTTCTGGGCATTGGCTCCCTGGTTCTTAGGTATTGATGTCCTTGGTTCTTTTATCTCAGTTGCGTGGTGCTTTTTGTTTTCCGGGTCATTGGTCTTGGTCCCTTGTCTCGGTGGTCTTGGTTGATTGGTCTCTGATTGTGATTTACTGGTTCATTGGTCTTGGTGTCTTGGTTATTCGGTTTTGGTTCCTTGGATCCTTGGCTTTGATTATTTGGATCCTTGGTTTCTGAGTTTTGATCCGTAAGGGCTTCGCCCCATGCCGTCGGCCCCCTGTCTCGGATAATGGGCGATGCAAAAGCTAAATCATGAGGTCTAGGCGCCGCCGTGAAGCAGTGTCGGGACCTGTTTGTTTTTGGACCCTGACCCTACGGATCTGCGTGAGGGGTGCCGCCGAATTTCAGAAATGTGGCAAATCCTTTATGTTCTTGGACCCTGACCCTACGGATCTGCGTGAGGGGTGCCGCCGAATTTCAGAAATGTGGCAAATCCACTGTGTTTTTGGACCCTGACCCTGTCGATCTGCGTGAGGAGTGCCGCCGAATTTGAGAAACGTGGCAAATCCTGTGTTTTTGGACTCTGACCCTGCCGATCTGCGTGAGGGGTGCCGCCGAATTTCAGAAATGTTGCAAATCCCATTGTGTTTTTGGACCCTGACCCCGCCGATCTGCGTCAGGGGTGCCACCGAATTTCAGAAATGTGGCAAATCCATTGTGTTTTTGGACCCTGACCCTGCCGATCTGCTTGAGGGGTGGCACCGGATTTTAGAAATGTGGCAAATCCCTCCTACGGATCTGCGTGAGGGGTGCCGCCGAATTTCAGAAATGTGGCAAATCCCGTGTGTTTTTGGACCCTGACCCCGCCGATCTGCGTGAGGGGTGTCAGCAACTTTCAGAAATGTGGCAATCCATTGTGTTTTTGGACCCTGACCGCTCCGATCTGCGTCAGGGGTGCCACCGAATTTCAGACATGTGGCAAATCCCCGGGATTTTGGACCCTGACCCCGCCGATCTGCGTGAGGGGTGAGAATTTTTACCCACCCCAGCGATTCAGACAACACGCTCAGGGCGTGGTAAAAATGCATGTTTTGGGCCTCCCCCCCTCGCGCGGTCCATCAACAAGGAACAGTAAGCAGCAAGAAGCACAACTGTAACAAGGAACAGTAAGCAGCAAGAAGCAGAATTGTAACAGTGGAAACTGGAAGCTGCAACTGGTACAGGAAACTGCGAAGCTTCGGCCTACAGCCTGGTGGCCCCACAAGGAAGCCAGCGGATTTCCTGTGCTTTTGTGTGTTGGTTTCTCGGATATGTGGCCTTTGTTCTTTGGTTCCTTGGCTGATTGGTTCTTTTGTCTTAGTTTCCTGGTGCTTCGGCACGCAACGCCAAGCAAGGCCAATCAAAGTCACGCAACGCCAAGCAATGCCAAGCGATGCCAACCAGTCCATCGCAATTTCAAGCAATGCCAAGCACTGCCAAGCAGTTTTGTCGAGCAATATGCCAAACAGAGCCCCGACACACTGGGATTATTTCCCCTAGTTGAGGTCGCGCCAGGCTCGTTTTTCACAGCAAGGCTTCTCATCCCATGTGCCTGCTTCATTTTGGGAGCCCTCGCTTGACGGGCTCCATCCCTCGGCGGGACGGGTCGGCAGGTGGGGCTCATCGTCTACGTCGTCGCGTGCCACAGCGGGGGGCACCTGAAGGACGTCAGGAACGGCAGGTTCCATGTGTTTGAGGACTCCATGCGCAATCAGGTGGCGCCCGCCCCGCTCTCCCTCCGGAGGGTTCCAACGGGGGCTTTTGGGGAGGGGGTTTCCCAGAGAGCCCCCCAGGGGCCTCGGAACCTCGTCAAAACAGGGGGTGCGAAGCTCCTTGGGGACCCCTCCTGGAAAATCCCATCCCCGAACCCCCCCTTTGGAACCCTCCAGTCCCTCTCCCTTCCTCTGCCTGCCTGCCCCATGGTTCACACCGGCTGGTCCCCGTCATCACGGAGAGGCGTATTTGCGCAAACGCGTTTGCGATTTTTTTTGTCAGCAAAACAGCTTGGTTGCTCATCTTTATTTCTGTCTTTATTTCTCTCTCTTTCTCTTTCTCTCTTTATCTCTCTGCATGTGTATGTTTTGTTGTTTTTTCTCTCTCTCTCTCTCTCTTTCTCTCTTTCTCTCTCTGCATGTGCATCGAAGACGCCTACGGCGAATCACCGCCGCCCCCTGCCTGTTGGAATCGCCCATGTGGCCGAGAGTTGTGGCAAGAGCTCTGCCAAGCTATCGGACCATGTGTTCCCACAGCCGTTGTGGAAACCCTTCGGGAAACACTTGGGGGAGGACGGCGGGGAAGATCAGGACGGAGAGGAAACGCAGGGGGCATCTTGAGAGCCTCTGGGGGCACTCTTGGGGTCTCTTGCAAACACCTATGGGAAATCACTGATGTTGGCCTCTTCGGGTCTTCATGGAGGCCCTCTTGGAGGCCTCTTGGGCCGTCTTGGAGACCTCTTGGGGACCTCTTGGGCCATCTTGGGCCATCTTAGAGCCGTTTTGAGGGCCTCTCTGGGCCGACTTGGGGCCCTCTTGAGGTGCTCCGCCATGACCCTGTCGACCCAATTTCGATTGGGCGGCCTCCTGCCGCGCGGGCCCCTCAAGGGGAGGCCGCCAGAGACCTGGCCAACCTCCTCGAGGCGCCATGGCTGGCCGAGGCCAGGGGGGGCCCCAGTCTCCCCGACCTCGAGGGCCAGGCACATGCATGGCGGCAGCTTGAGCCAAACTGATGCGGAGAAGGAGGGACGGGGAGGCGGGGGCGAGAGGTAGGGGGGGAGAACGGGAGGGGAGGAAGGAGAAATGGGGAGGAATATTTAGAGATGAGGGGACAACGTGAATTGATAAGGGAGGTCATTGATCGGGAAATGAATAAAGAAGGGTGAAGGACAAAGGGATACGATCAGAAGGGCACGATACGACAGAGACCACGGGGGACGCATTCTAGGACAAAGGTGTACGACAAGAGGACAAATGAGCACACTAGGAACGCCCAGCATCGACAGCAACGCAAACATCGGAAGTAAAATCATCACGATCAAGATCCTCAAACACCAACAAAGACGAAATGATCAGCGCTGTTACCATTGCCATCTTCGTAACCATCAACATATTACGTATATAATTTAACCCTTCTGTCATCAGGGTCATCGCCACCACCATCACCAGGATCGCCGTATGATCGAAAGGATTGGGTAGCGGCGACCATGAAATTGCAGCATTACTGGCATCGAAATTCGGTAACGACGGCGCTGGATTTCGGTAGCGACGAGACGCCGAAATCCAGTACCGCCGAACAAGATTTCAGTAACCAATTACCAGGATTCCCACGCCGATTCAGCCGTGAACGCGTGACTCTCGATACCGGATCTCATCGCTGGATTCCACCGGTTCTGCTACCTCGCTACCGGGTTAGGGCGGTCGCGGATGATCTGGGAATGACCGGCCTGGTCATACGGGGTGCCCGCACAACGTTTTTGTCCAGGCTCCTCTCCCGCGCGCTCTTTCCCTTCCTTTCCGCCTCCGTCCCCGAAACGTTGTGAAAACTGCGCGTTTCACCACAGCAGGGCTGCGCCGCAGCGTGTGCCCGAAGGTGCGATTTGTTTTCCTAGGCCGCTACTTAGTATGTTGTCCACCATGGGACCCAGGTGAGCCTGTGAGGACACTTTTCGAGGCATAACGTTGCCAGATAAGGCGCTGCGCCTGAGCCTGTGAGGACACTTTTTGGAGGCATTACGTTGCCAGATAAGGCGCGGCGCCTGAGCTTGTGAGGACACTTTTTGGAGGCATTACGTTGCCATATATATATATATAGAATAAAAAAAGAAAATATAATCTTGCGGGCCAGGCGTCGCAGACCGTGGCGGGGGTGGCGGTGGCGAAGAAAGAGGTTGAGGCACCACGTCGCGCATGTGTCAGGAAAGAGGAAAGAGGACGAGGATGGTGGAGGAGGAAGGGCAGACGGAGGAGGCAGGAAGAGGAGGAGGAGGAGACGGAGCCGCGAGGCGCACCGAAAAGAGTGACGGTAGCCGATGTGCGACCCGCGCGGCCGCGGAGGGGGGGAGGTGGCGGAGTTCGTGCTGGAACACAGCGAGGAGGAGGTGGACGTCATAGCCCGCGCCTCAGAGCATTCCGGCAGGGATTCGACCTACGCAGTTGGACACGCACGACGCGACGCGGACAGCCCGGTCGAGAGCCAAACACACATGTGGCCGCATGCCTCTCCAGCGCTCGTCTCTCGTATGGTCAGGCACGCCAGCCCTTCACACGCAGAGGCCGCCGCACATCTCATGAAGCCCTTCATGGTCGGAGTGCGCGGCCGTCCTCTTCTGTCTCCCCACCTGCTTGCGTACAATTCGACTGTTTAGAAGCGCCCTCCGCTTCGGCTACGGACGCGGCGCGCGTGCGCCATCGCTGCGTGTTACTAGTTTCCGACTTCCTGGCGCACGCGGGGGGAGGTGCATCCCGCAGGCGCTCCCACCACAGGGCGGTGGGCGTACCCCTTTCGCGCGCAGCACCAGTCGGCGCTGTCCCAGCTACAGAGGGAGTCCTGCGTTGCTGCTGGTGACGGAGTGAGGGGGAGGAGGAGGTTCCTGGACAGAGGCGTTGCCAGAAGTGTCCTTGATCCAGGACGTCTCTTGTTTTTCGTGTCATTGTGGGATCCTGGGGCCTCGTGAGGTGTGCTCCAGAGGCCGTCTGGGCCTCCAAGGAAATTCTGGGGACACCTTGGGCCAGGGATACCCTCAGCAACGCCCGAACAGGGAGCCCTGACCATAACAAAAATGAGGCAGCTCCCCAGGGGTGGCTGTGTTTTCTTCTCGGCATGCGCGCTTTGCGATTCTGTGGGTGTAGAATGTGCTGTGCGCCTTGGCTGGAGGCCCTACCGACCATGCACCGAGAAGTGACGTGGTGTTACCGTGATCATCGATGGTTCGCGTCCTGCGCATTGCCCAGTAAAACACACATTTTCCCAGGGTTGGTTAGGGACTTCCCCATCGAGGAGATGCAGTATCCGAAGCCTGGATCGCCCCCTCCTCCTCCTCCTCCTCCTCCTCCTCCTCCTCCTCCTCCTCCTCCTCCTCCTCCTCCTCCTCCTCCTCCTCCTCCTCCTCCTCCATTAGGACACCGTCCAGGGACTCTTATCCTTATTCCTTATTAGAATATACTCCTACTCCCCCCTCAGGCCGGCAGATAGGGGCCCCATCCGGGTGGTCCCATCCTAACCTGTAAAAAACAATACAAAATCAACATGTTTCTTATTTTTTCCTCTCGACATGGACGTCCTGTCGTCCACGGCGATAATCCATTGCAAAAAATACCACAAAGAGCACACGCGCGCGTTCATGTCAGAATCCTACCGAACACCGTGTGTTTGCAAGCATTTCAACATAAAAACATCAAAAACCCAATGCTTTTTCACAAAAATTCTACAAATTTCCTGCCCGGGCTCTCTTGCTGAAATCATAGGAAAACCATAGGAATCTTAAGAATTCTGTCAAATCCAGCGATTTCACGTCATCGCGCGGTGCACTCGCGATGCTCTGTCATGCACCCAGGCCGCGAATCCTGTGCAAAAAATACCACGCGGGCGACATGCGCGCGCGTCGCCGCGAGCGCATGCTCAAATCCTTCTAGAGTCGTCGCCGTCATTGGCACCGTCGCATGGACGTCCTGTCGTCCACGTCGCAAAATGCATGGCAGTACTACTACTACTACTACTACTACTACTACTACTACTACTACTACTACTACTACTACTACTACTACTACTACTACTACTACTACTACTACTACTACTACTACTACTACTACTACTACTACTACTACTACTACTACTACTACTACTACTACTACTACTACTACTACTACTACTACTACTACTACTACTACTACTACTACTACTACTACTACTACTACTACTACTACTACTACTACTACTACTACTACTAATACTACTAGTACTACTAATACTACTAGTGCTAGTAGTACTGCAAGTACTTGTCATAGCACTACTTTTTCTGTACTACTACTACTACTACCACTACCACTACCAACACCACTACCACTGGTACTACTACTCCTGCCTCTTGGGGCCTCCTGGGCCCCCTTGGGGTGTCCTGTCAGACCGTCGGGCTTCCTCCGGCCACCTCTGGCTTCCTGCGGTGTACCGGGCCATTCTCGACTCGTCTGGCAATGCGTGCGCGGCATTCAACACGCGCTCGCCAGTTCCCGTCGGCAACCGCCATCGCGGCCGCATCAGCTGTACCAAACCGGCTGGCCGGTGTGACTTCGGCCCCCAGTTGTGCCAGCTTTGCTTCTTATGTTGTGGGAGGGCGGGTGGGACTGGGCATGCCATGCTTGACTCGCTCGAGCTGGCTAGCTTGACTCTTACTCTTACTCTTACTCCTCCTCCTCCTCCTCCACCTCCTCCTCCTCCTCCTCCTCCTCCTCCTCCTCTTGGTCTGCTTTGTGTGGTCTAGAACTCCAAGAGTCTGTTTTGGAAGACCTCACCTCAGCAGCTTCCCTGCGACACCCTCCTCCCCCTCTTTTCTCATTCGGAGAACAGCACCCGGCATACCAGCAGGAACACCCGTCTGTGTCAGAAGGGTGTGAGGAGGGATGAGCGCAGCTTTTGATTTGCGATAATCGCCGGGTCGTGTTCGCAATATAGTTGTCTAGCTATGGTATCGCTATCTATCGACATGACAGTCGATCGATCCATCTCGATACCAATCGATCTCGCGAACCATCGACATCACTATTCATGTATTCACCGATCGCCAACTTCAAAAGACCACTTTTTATCTATCGGGCTCCTCATCAATCTACTTGCTGGTGCCACTATCAATTCATTGGTCTTGCTATGTATAGGTTTCCTTATGCATCGATCGACAATCACTTGGCCACCACGGGACAATTACAAGACTACCACGAGACAACCACGGGAAAGCCACGGGACAATTGAAGAGCAACCATCGTGACAACCACCGGACAAACACGGCACAACCATCGGATAACTACGGGACACCCACCAAACAATCACGGGACGACTGGACCACCACTGGGATACCGTGGAACAACGCCAGGATAATCGTGGGGATAGATAGTCTCGAGAGAAACATAGGACAAGCACAGGACAGCCACATGACAATCGAGAAGCAACCACGAACAACCATCGGGCGAATTGCGGGGCAACGGGCAAACGCGGGACAACCACGCGACAACCACAGGACACTTACGCGACAACCATGGGACAAGCACAGGACAGCTACAGGACAACCGCCGGACAACCGCGGGACAAGCACGTGACAACCACAGACAATCGCAGAACAACCGCAGGGCAGCAACGAGCTACGAGACATCCACGGGACAACCACTGGACAACCACGAGGCAGCCACGGAGCAACCGATTGGAAAACCGTCGGGACAACCGTCAGAACAATCACCGGGTCAACCGTCGGGACAAACCTCCGCACAACCCGCGGGAAAAAACCGCGGGAGAGCCCCGGGACGAACCCCGGGCGATCTGGGCCTGGACAGTGCAGAGAGTCGCGCTGCCCCGCCTCGCCCGCACGCGCGCCACGCACCGCAGCCGAAGCCCATCGGTCTCCGGCACCGAACCTCGGAGGAGGAGAAGGTACCCATACCTCTACCCTTCGCCCGTTTTCCCTTTCTGGGGCCTCCTGGGAGACCCTCGTCGCCACCGCCGGATTCGCCTCGAAATTCTGGTCAGAACGCACCCCAAGAGAGGTCCAGGGAGTAGCGGTATCGGTACTTTTGGTTTCCCCAGAACCGACACGCACGCGCAACACTTAGGAGCGAAAGCAGGACGTACACGTACACGAATCCACGCTGGTTTCGAAAGTGCGCAGTGCGCGAATGCTCGTATCACGAGGCTGGTCTTGCGGATCGAGGGATATCGAGGGGCCGAGTTCATGTGCATGGTTGGGCGCGTACGTCCTTGTGGGCACCCCAAGCACGCACCGCTCCTGGTTGGGCGGCTCGGCTTCACGTCGATCTCATCCCCCCCAACTGGCACGTCATTCTATGTCGGAGGTCCGCACGGATTTTTCGGGTTGGGCGATGGGCCACCCCCCCGTGGCGACGCCTCCGGCGCCCCCGCTGGCGCGCCCCGCGCGCCGGGGGAGGGGGGTCTGGCTGCCAACCCAAGAGATCCGCGCGGACCGTCGAGACATCATGCGTGTGCAGTCTGTCCGTCCTGTACTCATCCCCCCATTCCCTCTTGGAGGAGGGGAGGCGGAGAGGGAGGGGACCGAGGAGAGAGGCGTTACGCTGCGGACGAGCGCGCCCCACAGAATGATTCAGAAGAGGGAGAGAGAGAGAGAGAGAGAGAAAAAAGAGAGAGAGAGAGAGATAGACAGAGAGAGATGGAGGAGGGGGGTACACCTGAAGCGCGGAGGCCGCGCTGCGGGGCCACGAAGGCGGCTCACGCTGACTGCATCTGGGGCCGCCTGGCGAGGGCTGTCGCCAGATGTCTCCGTCGGCTTCGCTGCTCCAGCTGTCACGTACCCCCTCCTCATCTCCTCCTCCTCCATTTTCTGCTCCCTCCTTTTTTCATCATTTACTCTTTTCCTGCTGCTCCCGCCCCCTTCTCCTCCCCCTTCTTCTTGTGTCTCGCAGCAGGCTCATTCTAACCAGCGCTCCCCCGACAATACTTTGGAAAGCTCCAGAGGCCCCATCGCATGAGCGAAGGATGGCAGCCCTGTCGGAGCGAGCCAAGGCCAATGAAAGTCGCGGGTCCATCTGAGCCCCACTCATACTTCGTGCGGTGATGCCACCTGTCGTCCTCTCAGGCGCCGCCGTGCCGTATCCTCTTCGTTTTCTTCTTCTTCCTGCTGCTGCTGCAGCCGAGCCGAGGCGCGAAGGCGGAGACTCCTGCGGAGGGCACCAAGGGCTGCCCAAGGGCTTTGTTACTTTCGATGGCCTCTCCTCTGTCGGTCGCCTTGCGTCGCGGGCCTGGGGCAGGGAGTTCGTGTGGGCCCCTTTTCACAGCGGAAGGAGGCCCGCGACTATTGCGCGTGGGTCGCGCGCTGGACTACCATGCAGCATGGGGTTGGCCCATTGCAGCTCAGTCCGACCGGCCGGCCGACCTGCTGCTGATGCTGCTTTTTCTCCTCATCCTCATCCTCCTCCTTCTCCGTCTCCTCCTCCTCCGTCTCCTCCTCCTCCTGCTCCTCCTCCTCTGGCCCCTTTCGCAGCTGGCCCTTCTGTGCCGGAGTGCCTAGACGAGCCCCTGCGGTGTTCCCTTTTTGGGGGTCTCGCAGTGCCTAGGCCAGGGGCATTCGAGCTTTGGGTGCCTCTGGCCGTCTTTTCAACCAGTCGCACTTCATCAGGTCACTGGTGCTGCTCTGGTCATGGGCGTGTTTTGCACAACCACCACCATAAGTTGGAGTGGGGAAATGGGGTGGAGGATGAGGAGGAGGACGAAGAGGAGGAGGAGCAGGAGGAGGAGGAGGAGGACCCCTCCCCCTCCTACTTATGGTGGTGGTGGTGGTGGAGTGGAAAACAAGCCCATCATCTGGCCCCCTTCCGCCCCGGAGCGGCGCCCTCCACCTGAGGCTGCCGCAAGGCGCGCGGGCAACGGTTGGAGCGTCAGCCTCATCCAGGAGCCGGCCCAG